TGGGTGGCCTAAACTGTCAACAGAACAGTACGTGTGTTTGTGTATGCAGAACAGAGGAATGTATGGCAAGCAGTAGAAGTAATCTCGCTAGTTCGTCCTCAGTTGGTAGTCGCCGTTTTGCGTGATGTACCTCACCCAGGGCAGGGCCTGGTAGCCGCTCTTCTCGATGATCTTCAGGTAGCGCACTTGAATGCCCGAGGTGGTGAAGTAGGGAATCTCAAACTTGACGTGAATCGGCGGCCGACCTTCAATCTCCTCACTCGTCACCGAGGGAAGGCCAAAGTGAGCACGCATGAGAAACTCCTTGCCCCCTGGAAAGGACTTGATAGTCCACACTGCGCTGTTCACCTCGGGCGTGTATCGCACTGAGCCAATTGATGTCTTGAATCGGGGGGAATCGGCATCAGCAGGAACCGGAATAATGATCTCCACATTGTTTGCAGTTGAGCGCCGCTTGAACTGACTTTTCGCCTTCACCATAATCTCCACACGAGAGTGGGCGTGCCGCTCAATGACTGACTCGATCCAGATGAGCGGCTTAACGCTAGCCTGTGTGTTCAATCGGTAGGACATTAGCTCGAATTCGCCGTCCGGTGGAATGAAGGAGATGGTGCGGTCATTTTCAAAGCGCGACAAACGGACGCACTGGTGGAACTTTACATCTTCAAGCTCAACTGATTTACTCTTTCCGCGCCCGGTGCTCTCGAACAGAACCTTGTCGTTCAAGCCGAGGCGCAGTTCAGGCATGCCTGATAGGTAAACTCGCATTTTGATAGAGCCGATAATTTCACTGTTAAGTATTGCTCCGCTGGCATTTGCTAGCAAGTTCACTGACTCAATCACGTCGAGGAATACTTCATTCTTACGGTATTTGATGCCCTCGGTTCGCCAGGAAACGGCGTTAGTCACCGCCATTGGTGGCCGAGGCTGCAGCTCCATTTTGTGGCTCTCCTGTGTAATGTACTCTTGCAAGATTTTTCCATCGGTGATTTGTGGGTAGCCAAAGTCCATTAGCTCGTCAAGAAGTTCGTATATGAGGACAAAGTTGTCTCTGATGCTCTCCTCTTCCAGCTCTTTAAAGTAGTCAGTCAGGACATTGACAACCTTGTGCAGGAAGGCAAACACCAGTGACACGTTTGCGTTGGTCTTTGTAGTTACCACGATGTAAAGATTGTTGAACTTAATGTACATGAAGTTGGTGTCCTGGTGCTTGATGATCGGATTAAGTGAACTCTCCTCTTCCCGTTCCATTACCAGCGTCATGAACTTGTCGATGATGTTCATGTCCGTGTCACCGCGGTAATTTCGCGAGATGAGCACCTTCCCTTTAAGGTCTAAAAAGTAGATAGCTGATGCAGACATGATGAGGATGCCAAAGGTGGGGAAAGCACTGTGTAGTGCACTAAAATGATGCCTTAACGTAGACAAACAAAATGCTTGGTGGCGGGAAGGGTGTGGCACGTTGACGTGACCGAGCCCACACCGAGCTTAAAAGCCGTAGGATCTCCGGTTAGAGGATGGATCCAGATAAAAGAAGCTTGGGCAAAGGACCGGTAAAAGAGAGAATAAGTGGGGCAAAGAGACGGCCAAATCTGGTGACGAGTTGAAATTCACTACAAATATGTAAAATAGTGTAGGCTACTGTCGGCAGCCACTAGTGTAAAGATAGACACAGCTGATGATGATGTACATGTGGAAACTTCTTTGATCAGCGGCTTATCTCACTGAACGGTAAACCGCTGAAAGATGGCCTCCAGTGCAGATTGGGTCGATCTTTGGGAACGGGACGACGAAAAGTCATTGGCGCCCTTGTCTTCCGCACAGCTCGAGTTTATTGATTCGCTAACTTCACTTTGCAAGGTACTTCTGCCCCCCGGTTTTATTTGTTTACATTCTGTGTTTACTTCTTCCAGGATACTCCTGTCAACAAGGAAACTGAAGATGCAGAAGAAGGCAACAGGCCGAGTTACAGCAATCTTTTACAGGTATTTTCTCTAAAGAATGTCGTCATTATTTTAAAATCTGATTTGTAGTTTCACAACTGGTACACTAAGCTTGACAATGAAATGCAATGTAAAAATGATGCCAGATTTCAGTAAGTTGATTAGTAAAATGCTACTAAATGAAATTAAAAATTAATTTTAAACAGAAATATACTAGAGTACCATGCAAAGTGCCAGCAACTATCTAGTATCCTCAATCAAGTTCTGACTCATTTAAAGAAGCTCGACGAAGAATATAGTGCTGCCCTAAGCAAAACGAGATCATTCTACAAATCCTGCGATTTGCTCATACAGCAACAGGTTCGTTTAACGTTCTGAAGCAAAATTAATCATATTGTTGATTTAATTTCAGCACGGGCTAATCGTCGCTATTGAAGCCATCAACGAAAAACTATCATTCTTTGAAGAGCTTGAAACCATGTCTAAGGTATGCCGTGCAGTATTGTTAGGAGAAAATGCCCCCAACTAACTGTATTTTTTCATAGAAATTTTCTTCTCCAACGATGCTAACTCTAAACGAGTCTCTAGTGCCACTTTTAAATCGCCTTGACGAGTGCATTAACTTCATGAGTCAAAACGAATCCAACTACCTCGAAGCTTCCACCTACCTGAACGACTACCGGCGCTTTCAAACTTCGGCACTGCACACCATTCGGACTCACGTGATCAATACCCTGAAGCAAACTGCCACACAGGTGATGCCGGAAAATGACAACGTTCTCACGCCCAACGAGTCCGTCTTTACGCTGTACTACGGCAAATTTCAAACCAACGCCCACCGCATCAAGACGCTAATGCAGCAGATTGAACACCGCACAAACCAGTCGGAGCTGTACTCGCAGTACCTGGACGACTGTCACCAGTGTTACTTTGAAATTAGGGAGTCTCTCATTGGCTCGGTGCTGGCCTTGGCAATGGAGGAGATGATCAACTCCTCGGGACGTAATTTCTGCTCTCTCGTGCGCTCTTCAGCCAATCTCTACATTCACATTTGCCGCGACGAGTATCAGCTGTACTTTCAGTTTTTCAGCCAAATGAACGCCTCTCTGAGCAACTTCCTTGATCGACTGTGCATGTCACTGTACGACAAACTTCGGCCGATTGTCATTCACCTGGAGCACCTTGAATCACTGTCGGAGATTTGTGCCCTTATCAAGAGTGAGTTTATTGAAGAGAACATTCACCAGGATGAATTGGAATCGTTTGTCAAGACGATGGAGAATCTTCTGCAGGACACGCAGGAACGTCTAGTCTATCGTTGCAATATTTACATTCAGACAAACATTCTAAACTACACGCCGGCCAGTGGAGACCTTGCATACCCTCAGAAGTTGGAAATGATGAAGTCAATTTCAGAGAACTTGGTGGCAGATGATGAGCACCGACCGATGCGAACTCGTTCCGATTCGGTCAGTTCAATTATTTCCTCAATTTCAGACATTAGCTTCGTTCAGGGGGTGAATCACTCTACTGAGCGAAAAGTATCTAGTCGTAAGTATTACAGGAAATCGGCGTCAACAAGTCTAAATATGTTTTGTTACTTCACCACAGGGTCGGTTGTAGATTTGCATGGAATGTGGTACCCTACGGTTCGGAGTTCAATCATGTGTTTATCCAAACTGTACAGATCACTTGATGTAAGTGCTAAAAAGATTTCATCTAAATCTGTCACTAACATCTCACCACTTTTTGGCAGAAACGGACATTTCAAGGACTATCACAGGAGGTTCTGTTAGCATGTATTGACTCCCTTGAAGTAGCGTACAGTCAGATCAAGCAAAAGAAAACGCCAATTGACGCCTACCTCTTTATCATCAAGTATCTGCTCATTGTACGGGAGCAGATCACTCCGTTTCACATTGAAACTTCAATTAGAGAAGTCTATCTGGACTTTACCAAGACTAAATGTAAGCACAAAGCACATGAAACTATCAAAAATGATAAAAGTTCATTTCATTTTCAGCCGCCGTCATTGAGCTGCTGCAGAAACGTTCCAACCTGTTTACATTGACAAACAACAATGCGTTGCTCAAGTTGATGTTTGATGTATGTCTTTCAATAAATTGGTGCTTCACATTTTTGCTACTACTACTTTCACACTTTCAGGGAACGCCGCAAATAACTGAAAAGACAATCGATTCACAGANTGATAAAAGTTCATTTCATTTTCAGCCGCCGTCATTGAGCTGCTGCAGAAACGTTCCAACCTGTTTACATTGACAAACAACAATGCGTTGCTCAAGTTGATGTTTGATGTATGTCTTTCAATAAATTGGTGCTTCACATTTTTGCTACTACTACTTTCACACTTTCAGGGAACGCCGCAAATAACTGAAAAGACAATCGATTCACAGAAAGCCGTGGACAATAAGATAAAGGAAAAGTGCGAAGAGTTTATCTCCTTCACCTACGATTACCTGGCAAAGGATCTCAACAGTTTCATCTTGGCGACTAATTTTCCTGCCGTAACTGCAACTGCAGCAATGGTTTCAGAAGGCGGCGGTGTCAGTGGTGATTCGACTGAAGAAAAAGCCGCAGAGTCTTCCGTATCACCGGTGAAACTGTGCAAGTTGAGGTTAAAAGAGTTAGTGCAAACTTATCAAAGCAAAAAGACGTCTATTGAGAAAAGCATGTCGCTCTACCTGGCCAACTCTGAAACTGAAGCGATCATTTTCAAGCAAGTCAAAACGAAAATTCAACTTCTTTATGAGCAGTTAGTGAAGATTCTTTTGACTAAGTTTCCCAGTGATAGTGACAAAGCTGAACTGGAGATTCCACCGCTAAAAGCCTTCATTTGACTGTTATAACTGCAATAAAACTTTGAATATTTGAAAGAAAAAACAATTTTATAGCGAATTATTTGTTTGTTTGGAGAAGACGAGTGATAAAGGAACTAAATTTAGTTGGGTCATGTTTTGGAAAGGGCCTCAGCGAAGTTACATCAAGTGACTGTAGTATTTGACACATTTGAGACGGGTATGAACAGACGACAAACTGTTGGTTGGCAAGATCTCGGGCTAACTCTTCTTGGTGATTATCCATTAGTCGGTCATTGATCACAATTAACAAAGGTTTGCCTTTTCGCAAAACTTCAAGGACAGTACCAGCGCCTTTAGAAGAATACAAATAAATCTGAAAATAAAAAATAAAAAAACTTTGAACTTACCGGCGTGACCAATCACCAAGTCAGCTGAGTCGATGTACTCGTCAATTGAGCTTTTGTAGTCAAAAAGCTCCGTCTCAAAATCAGTCCAGGATTGGAGAAACTCCAAGTGAGCCGTTTGCTTGTACCCTCCATACTGAATTGTTAGCTTTTGACAGCCCAAATTCTTGAAAATCTATGCAAAACATTAAAATGTTGCTTCACATGAACTGTCAACAAAAACGGTAAACAAACTTGAAGCGTTTGCCTGTCGACCAGAGCGTCAATCAGGTGGTCAAATTGCGTTGAACCAACGGTGACAAAAATGTTTTCCAGTTGACGTGGGCCAGTGGAGGACATTGGGACGTTTGAGGCGGAAAGGGGAAAGAAGGGGCAGAGAAACCAGAAAATTAGGAGTTTGTAAGATAACAAAAAGTGCTGCTGCTTGTAAGCTCAAAGGCTCCATCTGCACTCTGAGCGCATCACCAAAGTGCCTGGTGGAGAGCGGTCGACAGACACGTCAACTCTGTGCTGTAATATTTTTTTCCAGCAAAAAGTCTGTCTTTTCGTCCACCACAGCTGATTACCGTTTACCATCATCACCATCATCACCAGCAGCAGCATCATCAGAAGAGCTGCACTCTTTACCATCAAGTGACGTGTTTTTCTGGTCGGCATCGAGCTAGACTTGTGGCAGTGTGTACCACGCAAACGATCATGCTTTCTTGAGTGCCGGTGACAGGAAAATCGGCCTTCCTAAGCCTAGTGATCACCCGTAATCTTCCCTTTCATTGTCACTCTTAAAGACCCCAACAAAACTCGCCAAAATGCCTGTCGGAGTGACGGAATCGACATTTCTCATCTTGACCAGTGTCGTCATGTCCTCCTTCGTGATAGCCAATGCTTATCTTCAAAAGCAGCAATTCTATCCCTCTGTGGTGTACATTACCAAGTCAAATGCATCAATGGCTGTAAGCTGACACACGTTTTCATAAAGATTTTATCTGGGAAAAATACTCAAATAGATATGTCTTTTTCACACTTTCTTCAGATTATTTACATACAAGGACTCGTCCTTGTACTGCTTCTGGGGAAGTTGTTTCGAAAGATATTCTTTGGCCAATTACGAACCGCCGAAATGGAGGTAAGAACGTCGTGATTATGTCACTTTAAAGTTCTCATATTCTGTTTACAGCATCTCATTGAGCGATCGTGGTACGCCGTCACTGAAACATGTCTGGCATTTACCGTCTTCCGTGACGACCTGTCACCGAAATTCGTGGCTCTCTTCACTTTACTTTTGTTTTTAAAATGTTTCCATTGGCTCGCCGAAGACCGAGTTGACTACATGGAACGAAGCCCTAATATTTCCCTTCTCTTTCACATACGTGTTACTTGTACGTTGAGGATAACAACAGGAATTTTTCGTTTACTAATTATTTTTCACTTTATTTTAGCTTTACTTTCAATTCTCGGCCTTTTGGATTTGTCTTTCGTTTATATGGCCTACTACAGCACTCTCACCAAAGGTGCTTCAGTTCAGTTGGTTTTCGGCTTTGAGGTTTGTCATACTGTAGACANCTTCACTTTACTTTTGTTTTTAAAATGTTTCCATTGGCTCGCCGAAGACCGAGTTGACTACATGGAACGAAGCCCTAATATTTCTCTTCTCTTTCACATACGTGTTACCTGTACGTTGAGGATAACAACAGGAATGTTTTTGTTTACTAATTATTTTTCACTTTATTTTAGCTTTACTTTCAATTCTCGGCCTTTTGGATTTGTCTTTCGTTTATATGGCCTACTACAGCACTCTCACCAAAGGTGCTTCAGTTCAGTTGGTTTTCGGCTTTGAGGTTTGTCATACTGTAGACATATTATTTTGATAGTGAAAACTAAAACTTTAATTTCAGTACGCTATTCTCTTTGCCATCATGCTGAACATTTCGATGAAGTACGTTCTTCACTTTTTCGATCTGTACAACGAGAACCCATGGGAAGATAAGGCAATCTACCTGCTGTACACTGAGCTCATTATGGGTTTTCTCAAAATCTGTCTCTACTTTATCTTTATCATGATTATGATGAAAATTCATACCTTTCCTCTCTTTGCAATCCGGCCAATGTACCTTACGATTAGGTAAATCATGTTTCATCTTGTTCAACAAATCACCATTTATTAATTGTTTACATTTATTATTTCAGAGGTTTCAAAAAAGCTCTTAACGATGTCATCATGTCTCGACGAGCCATCCTTAACATGAATACTCTGTACGTTTCAAATGAGCGAANCCATTTATTAATTGTTTACATTTATTATTTCAGAGGTTTCAAAAAAGCTCTTAACGATGTCATCATGTCTCGGCGAGCCATCCTTAACATGAATACTCTGTACGTTTCAAATGAACGAATTTTTATGGAAAAACTTATCAATTTTACACTTTAGGTACCCAGATGCTACGACGCAAGACATTGAAAACTCTGACAATGTTTGCATCATTTGCAGAGAAAACATGCTTGGCAATGGCACCTGCAAGAAGCTCCCCTGCAACCACATATTTCATGTTACCTGTCTACGATCCTGGTTTCAGCGCCAGCAAACTTGCCCTACTTGTCGTATGGATGTTCTTCGCACTGGAAGCAACCAAGCGAACCAAAATAATAATAACGCCAACAACGCCAATAACGCCAATAACAACGCAAACGACGCGAATGCTAACAATAACGCAAATATCGCAAATGGTCCAATACGACCCCTTCCTCCGTTTATGTTTCAGCACTTTCAACAGCTGTTCAACAATCGCCCCAATAACCAGAACGATCAAAACGCTGCCGGCGCCTCAAGTGGACAGGCAGCCTCTAGTTCAGCAAACAACAACACCGCCCCTCCGATGCCACCTCTTCCGCCCATGAACTTTCACGCCGTAATGCTTCCCTTTCTTCAGTCGCCTCTCTTCCAGGCGCCACAGTTGCCAGCAAATGAGGCTCTACTGCAGGGACTGTCTGATCAAGAGCTGCGATTGCTTGAAGGCTCAGAGCGACGGAACATCGAAGCGAGGCTGAAATGCCTGATGGAAGTGAAAACGCTCATCGATTCGGCCACCAGTCGTCTTCAACAGTACCATACTGCTCTGAACAACACTCCGAATAGTGTTGCAGTGGCCACACAAACTGAAACTACAACTGAGAGTTCAGTGAGTAGTGGACCCTCCACTTCAAGTGCAAAACCGAACAGTTCTAGTCTTCCAAACAGTTCAACTAAATCCGACTCAAGTGCTCCTCAAAAGGCGAGTACCTCTGCTGACATTGAAAGCAGCGGCGACAGGTCAAGTAATGATCCTCATGAGTTGATTCGTAAGCGACGCCTTGAGCGATTTACCCAAGCAAGTGACAATGGACAAGAAGCCTCAACCGCTGAGAATTCTGCTCAAAGTGAAAAATGATGGCATAGAAAGGATGCTGTTTATCAGTTAGAACATTTCCTGTATATAGAAAAGAACGTATATTATTATACAATAATATAATATTTATATTTTGCTATTATCCTTTAAAGTCACCGGTAAGATGTGATTTCTTGATAAGTCTCAAGACCTTGACTTGATGAAAGATGTGTTTACTTTGTTTGTTGTTTTCTTTTTTACTGTCACTCTCATTTTGACACGACCTTTTATCGCTTACTTTTATCTCAAAGCGTTCAATGACAAGAGGCTGCCTTGAAAAGACACCCGCTCTGATGCTTTGAAGTTTGCTCAATGATTTTACAAAAAAAACCCACTTGATAGCTCCTTATCTCAAAAAGAATTTTTCAACTACAGGCAAAACTCACAGTGCGGACGCGCCANAAAGACACCCGCTCTGATGCTTTGAAGTTTGCTCAATGATTTTACAAAAAAACCCACTTGATAGCTCCTTATCTCAAAAAGAATTTTTCAACTAGTTGATCATAATTTGAAAGTTCTATAATAGTGCTGGTTCAATGAAAAGTTCTAAAAGTAGACGTTTTTGCTAGTATAAATAATATGGCATTGCTCAATGACAAGTTTCTCTCGCAAGTGATAAGCAAAGTGATGTGTACTTGTACTTTGTTCAACTTCAAGATGCAGTTCTTTTGCGCCTTAGTCATTGTGGTGATAGGCATCAGTTTGGCTGGTAATTTAGCTCAATCTCTGGTGGAAAATGACTCGCTCATTTTTCGTGGGATGGAGCGAGCCCTGCTGGACCTGGGCGCCGGTAACAACGCCTCCACTTCAGCTTCCAAAGGCAGTAGCTCTGATGACCAGGACAGTAAATCCGACGGCGGAGTGGGCATGCCCATCTGGCTAATTTTGCTCCTGGTGCTGCTCATTCTCATTGGCATTGGAATGGTCATCTTCGTGGTGTGCCTTTTCCGCGAGGACAAGGAAAAGGACAAAAAATCTCACTCGAAGAAGAAGCGATCCACTTCGAAGCACCACAGCAAAAAGGGCAGCATGCACTCCAAGAAGTCCTCAAAGAAGTGATCTAAAGCGCTGCGCCGCACTGTTTAAAGCTAAATTTGTTCATTTCAGTAAACAGCCCTTTGTTGGCAAGAGCCAGTGCTCTTTCTTTATCGCTTCTTATCCTCAATGAAGCCAATCTCTCTCTTCATTGACTTTGTAGCACTTTTCCCACAGCTAATATAAAGCCTGTACAGGCGTACAGTCATTTGATAAATTACATTTCATTCGCCATCGTAGCAGAATGGCGAAACTTTTGCAGTTACTCGAGGTGGTCTTTGCCCTGCTTGCGGTGACCTCCACCGCCAGTGGACAACTATCACCGCTGACTGAAGGACTGAGCGTGCTGACCACCCCTCTGCAACGGGAAATCGAGCGTCACATTGACACTCTGAAGCCAACCATTGGCAGGCTGCTCAACGTCAGCCCTGACACCCAGTTTTCGCAAATATTTCCAACCATTAGCAACTTTAACCAGAGCCAAATTATCGAGTGCTACAATTCTACAATTGGCGAAACTCAGTTTGACATCTTCAAGAACACCATCTTCGATGCTATCAAGGCTTACTATGTATGACTGTGCAGTTTAGCAGTAATGACGATTAACTGATTTAATTTACTATTTGTAGAAAAATTTTCCGGAAAATTTTGATCTAGTTGCATTCCCAAACAAAGTCAAGAACTTTTTTCAGTCGCTTAATGAAATCGGCACTCATACAGTGCAGTGTCTCGTCGATCCCTCTGGATTTCAACTTGGCTTTTCGCCGTTTACCGATTTCGTATGAGTGCCATTGCTTTTCAACACGTTCAAATGTTAAACTTTCTGATCATTTTCTTAGAGCGATGCAGAGTACAAAGAACTACTTGGTGCCAAACATGGCGAAGCTGAAAATCGGTTGATTATGTCAAACTTTCTTGACCGACGGCGAACGGACCAAAGATCGGGTCGAGATGAGTCCGGTGAAGACTCGAAAGAGTCAAGAGAGTCGAGTGAGTCATCGGAGCGAAGCTCCAATGAAACAGTGAGCTCACGAACTACCGAAGCACCGACTACGTCCAGTACGACTGCTGCACCGGCCAGGCGATCGTCTCTTTTGAACCTGGGTGGCTCCTCCAACACATCTAGCATTCTGGGCAGAGCCAGTGGAGGTCTTCTTCGGAGACGTCGTCAGCAGGTGACTGTGGACCCAATCTGCTTTCCTAAGAACAAATCACCACTTCCGGAAAAGTTCGACTGGCAGTCTAAAGGAAAAGTGACACCCGCCAGGTTCCAGGTAAAGCATTATCAATTTGAAATGCCAAATTAATCTGAATTGCTTTTATTACAGAGTAGTTGTGGCTCTTGCTGGTAAGTCAATTACTTTTGTAGAACTATTTTTTATTTTGATCTTGTTTTTATCCTTAAATTCTTTTTTGAAGGGCGTTTGCTTCCCTTGGTGCCCTCGAGAGTGCCTATCTAATAAAGGGAAAGACAAACAGTAAAAAGTTTGATCTGAGTGAGCAGGAGCTGTTAGGCTGTGCACGAAAGAACGGTTGCAAAGGCGGCACTTCAGTGGATGCCTTCAACTACATTCTCAACAATGACGGAGTCACTGATGAGAGTTCTTTGCCCTATGACAAGGTATTTATTTACCATCATCACTAGAAATTGATGGTTTTTACCGACTTTTTAATTGAAGAAAGAGAAATGCGATAAGCGAAAGAAGAAAAAGGTGGCCAAAGTTGAAGACTACTGTCTGCGTGGAGTCTACGCCAAGGTGAATGGCAAACCCGAGCAACTAACTGATGAGCAGATAATGCTTGTCGTAAGAGAATTCGGTCCGGTCTATGCTACCATCAATGCTGATCATGTGGCAGTGAAGCACCTCAAATCGGGCGTCTACAACTACAAAAAGTGCCCCAAAGAAACAAATCACGCCGTTTTAAGTAAGCACAAGTTGCCTGTTCAAAAAATGTACTAACTGACTTTTTTGAATTTTGCAACTAATAAATATAGTAACTGGCTGGGATAAGAAGGCATGGCTTATCAAGAATAGCTGGGGTAAAAAGTGGGCCAATTCTGGATTTTTCCGAATGAAACGCGGAAGCAACCTCTGCGGTATGTTTGCAGTACTGGAACATTTTATTTAAATTATTAATTACAATTTTTATTTCTTTAAAGGTCTTAACACCTACATTACGTATCCAATTTTGTAACAAATCAATTTTGTTTTTAAACTGCCATAAGTTTTATAAACATTTATTTGATAAATTTTGTTTTAAAGAAATTTAAAGAGTTTGTTCTTAACAGTAATAAACAGAAAGAGATAACCCTAAAAACAGCACAGTTAAGTAGTAGTAAAAGAATACTATTAAAGTAATCATTATCTTCAATCTGTAACCATTTCAAAACTGGATGAACTTCTACATTTTCTTTACATCTTCCAAATCCGTAAATAAGAAGTAAAACAGCTTCAAATGCCCATCTGGATATACTAAAATACGACACTATTTGATAGAATATATTCAAGCGGTGTACGTTGACAAAGAAGTTACTCAAAAGTAGGAAACAATCGTAGACAATCATAAAAACAAGTGTTAAGTAGGCAATTTGCTCATCAGGAGTACAAAGAGCAATTAGATGAGCCATGCTGCACGAGGCGTAAATCGATATAATAATGATCAGTAAAAAGTGCCAGTAAAGACCGGCTACTACTGTCGAGTAAATGTCGCAGATGTAAATGTACAAGCAAATCATAGGAAGTAGTGGAATCATCTCTACAACTGACTTCATTAGATAAAATGAAGAATTTGAGTACCAGCCTGTAAAGATAAATAAAGAAGGTTATAATCACTGTGACGATTTTTACATTTAGGTTACCATTTCGATGTTCAACCAAAAAGTACTTCATTTCTTTAAATAGCGTAAGGGATGAATGCAGAAGGATAAGTAGCAAAAAAATGTTGTTCATAAAAAATATAAATTTTAAAGAATTGTCAATATCTTTCTCTTGCTTGAGAAATTCATCTGATTGTTTGCATGAGTGATTGAGATATTCGCTGTTAATATTTAAGCAACCGGAAGTTAGTGCAATTTCAGAATTCCAAAAAAGATGAAGAGATGAAGCATACGCAAATATGATAATGTAAAAAAGTAAATATTCTTTCCAGTGATGAGTGCAAAATAAAGAGATGTATCGTAGAATGAGAATGTAAGAACTTTCTATTGAAAACCTTTTCTTGTTTATCAAGTGTATTCGAGTAACCAGCTGAACGTTTTCGGAGTTAATTGATTCATTTGATTGAGTGAAAGTTTTCTCAACAAGCCGTTTCACATTTTCATTTTTTTGGTCTTCACATGATAGTTTAATTAACTCTTCAATTGGAAAATACTGCTTCCTCTGATCAATTGTTTCAGAAATAAAAGACTGAACTTCACTAGGTTTTCCAGAAAATATGCATACACCTTCTCGCGCTAACACGTAAAGACTGTCAAACATTTGGAGAACTTTATGAGAAGGCTGATGAACAGAGCATATAATTGAAATTTTGTGAGATTTTGTTAAATTGTGAAGCGATTTGATTGCCTAAAAATACACTTAGTTAAAGAAGTTTACCATTATTTAAAAAATAAATTTTACTTACAATTTCAGATGAATCGCTGTCTAGTTCGCTTGTAAGCTCGTCAATGAGCAATAAATTGGGCACTTTAATGGAAGTCAGTTCAAGTGCAACTGCCAATCTTAAATTAAAAGTTGAAATTTAGGTTAGATTTAGCAAAACAGACTTACCTTTTTCGTTCTCCACTAGAAAGGTGTTCAACTTTTGTATCAGCGGTGTTCATTAGATTGAGTTCTTGTAGCCATTTTTCTGTCACTTGCTTATGATTGACATTTTCACCTATATTTTTTAGCCTTGAAGAAAACAGCATCATTTTTCTAGTAGTTAACCCAGGCATTAGGTGACTGGAAACATCTGCACTAATAAAACAACTTGATATGTCTTTTGATATATAAAAACGACTTTCTAGACTTGTGTGCCTTCCAAGCTGACCATTTAATACTTTTAGAAAAGTTGTTTTTCCGCTACCTAGAGATAATAACAAGAACTGAAATATAAGCATGTAAACTCCACATTTAAATATTTACCTGATGGTCCCATAACTGCATGAATTCCAAATGCAAGTTCTCCGTTTAGGTTTTGCAAAATCAGTTTTTCGTTTTTCCAAAATATCATGTTTTCAGTAATATTGACACTCAAGTTTTTCCACCCAATTACAATTTCATTTTGGTTTTCGCATGTCGTTTCAGTCAAATTCCTTTTGTATTCGTTCATTTCAACAATTTTTATTGTGTTGAAATCAATTTGCTGCATTTCGTCAAAATAATCGGCGAGTTTCTTAGTTGGTGAGAAAAGTTTTGTGATAAAATTAAATGAATAAAATTTAAAATAAAGTGCTACAAGTGTTGCCACTCTCATGACGATTACATTTTCCACAAGACGACGTATGTACGTGATGACTTCATTTTCTTTAACAAAATGTTTCAACAAGACAGCACTAAATTCAGTTGTTTTGCATCGATCAATGCCGTAAAAAATATAAATCATGTACTTTGTCACGTACTTCAAGGCGACAACATTTGAGGCAGTGATCATGAAATCGTTTTTGAATTCATCGGTTTTAAAAAGAAAATCGTTCATGATATCGCATGTCATGTAAACCATAATGGCAATGACCACAGCAAACACCGATGAGTGCATGACAATGACGCCGATCAGCTGGCCTAGGCTTTGAGTGTACAATCCAAGCAGCCAGATGGAAAGTGTGAACTGTGCGAGTCGATTCCAATTGAGTGAACCCTTGTCAATGGCCAGTTGATCAGTAGCAAAGTAGGCAGTGGTTGCGATGCATAGCACGTATACTGTCAGCTCAAGAATTGAGCAAATATTCACTGAATGATAGAAGCAGCTTAAACTGTACCATTCTATAAAAACACATAATTATAAGTTAGTGACAACTGAAAATACTACTTACTGTTGCGAAACTCGTGCTGAACAACGTTGACCATGTGCACAAACAGCAGTGAGCTTGAGCAGGTAATAACAAAGCCTTCAATAGCACCACAAAATACCAAAAAATTAATATTTTCACTTAATTTTGCATTTTGTTCAAACACAGTCTGGCAGGAGATGTTTGAGTCGTTCAGTAAGGGATAGCACCCAGTTGGCAAAACCATGTCGTTGTTGAAGAGAGATGATAGAAAAATCACATTGAGAATGTGAATAAGAATTTGGGCAAAAAACAATCGATAACTTAATATGAATGTGCTGATAAATTGGCGAGAAACGAGAGAATATAAAGAATAAAACGAAAATGATTGGAAGTTGTTCGTTTTTAGAAGAGGAACTAGTGCAGAAAGGGCATTTTCTGATAATTTGTGAAACTCAGATGTTTGTGTAAAAGTGGCAAAAGTAATAGTTTCAGAAGTGTCCGTATCTAAAAAAATATATAAGGATTAAAAACAATTTAATTATCAGAAAAGCAAACTTACGGCTACTGGTAATTTGAATGAGTGCTTCAACTGGTGGCTGTTCTGAGAGAAGTGTAATTTGCAGCTGTTGCTCGAGATATAAGCGAATAGTACTTGGTGGTCCAGAAAATACAGCAACGCCATTTGCAAGAACGTAGATTTGATTAAAAAGGCTTAGTGTTTCACTGTTTGGGGCATGTATTGAACTGATAATTGTGATATTTTTCTCATTGGCCAGTTTCTGCAGGCAATTCACCAGCTCAAAGGCTGTGGCACTGTCCAGTCCTATTGTGCAGTGAAGACTGTGTAATTAGGTTTGCACATAAATGAAGAAAAGGGAAATCAACTGACCTGTGGTCGGTTCGTCACAGAATATGAAGTTGGGGGCAGTCAGTGCCATCAACTCCTGACCGACGGCAATTCGACGCTGTTCACCACCGCTGCAACGAGCAAATGGCCGAGTCAGCAGCTCTTCAGGAAGCATCAAGGCGGCCATTGTCTCCTTGATTTGTTCCTCCATTGCAGCCCTCGAGGAGTATCCATTCTTGAATGCAAAGGCATACTCAAAAATCTGCTCAACGGTGAGATACCCGATAATAACTCGATTGATTTTCTGCGGAATGAAGATCGAGGTAGCTGTTTTTAAGCGAGAGCTTACGTAAACTTGATTGTTTGAAATCTTGATATTTCCGCTTAAACATGAAAGTAGTGTTGTTTTTCTGAAATATTTTGTAAAAAGTAAAAACTCATTAGGACGATTGCCGCACTGTTGTCGACTTACCCTGAACCAGACTGTCCAAGTACGCCGTTCAATCCTTCAGCAAAACTTCCTGTCAAACTACGCAAAATAATCTTTTTGTGCCATTTCCAGTTGATATATTCATCAACCGAATACGAAAGGTTTCGCCAAGCAATTGATAAGTTTCTATGATCATCAGAATCAATTAATTTATCAAAATCTTCTGCACACATTTTTAGAGAACATTTATTAAAAGTCTAACCAATGTAAAAATAAAGTACAGTCTCTACTGCAGTTATTACCTGCACTAATCGCGTGTGAAGCTGTTTTTATGGCAAACAATAAATATTTTTGGTTGAAAGCTTGTTCAATTGGCAAACCTCAACTTGATCAAAAACACTACTGATGAAAATATCTTTTATCAGAAAACAATGGTTTACACTAAACAGTGTTTGTTTTGTTTGATAGCATCCTGTCGTAGCAGACTTAGGCAAAGTTGGCAGTTCGTTTTTTTACTAGAGAGACAGCCATTGAATGGCACTAAAGTTTATTTCCTGTTACAGTAAATAAAAAATATTTTTTATTGTTTATAGTCAACAAAAAGCTCTTTATTTAAAAACTGGAAAGTTTAAAACAATGAATGCATTAAAAATGTGAAAAATGTTGGCACAAATTAATATATTGGCTCTTCGGGGTCGTAGACGTTATCTGTCACCAGCAGGACAAGTTTTCCATTCGCAACAGCTGGAACCAAAAGTTCAGGCACTTCCACTTGAAGGCACTCCTTTTCTAAATCAATTTGGGAGATGCGAGCAAAGCCTTTCACGAGAAGTATGTGCCGAAGTGAAAGCCAATTGTTATCGTGATTAAGCAGTTGCTCGATTGAAAGCTCTAAAATGGACAGTATTCGATTCATCAGGTAGACTAATGACTCTCGGTTTAGGTGA